CTGCAGCATCTGATCTGAGACCGCGAGACAGAGAATCCGGGAACCCGAAATTTCTGTCTGGCTGTTTGTTTTTTTTTTCTTTTTCATTTCTGTTTATTTGTTTTTTTTTTTATGGTGGCAGTGGCCACCGGACAGAGCCAATGAACTTCTCTCTCACCATCATATTTCTGTTTCTTTCTCCTCTTTGGACATATTGCATGTGAATTTGTTTGGAATGATTATATTTTGTGGTAGGTTTATTGTTGTCTGAATTTAAAATTCGACTCGGCCTGCGACAGCGACTGGGACTGCGGCTGGGACGACTTCACATAATGAAGCCATAAGCCGCCATCGCGACCATAAACCTATTTGAATATTAATTTTGTTAATTAACTTATTCAAATTTGGGAATCGTTAAAAATGGAAGAAATTCTTTTTATGGCTCTACTCTGTTCCCCCGGAGACTGAAGAACGAAGAAAAAGAATGAAAGACTTTGTGCTGGTGACAGAAATACAAATTACTCACGATAATTGTGACACCCAACAAACCAATCTTCCCACGATGCGCTGCGATCGCTCCGATCCGGAAGAGTGCTCTGGTAGTTCCCATCGGCCGGACTTGGTCAGGATGGGAGGCTGTTGGGAATGCGGATTGGACGCTGCGTGCCCCCAAGTGCTTGCATGTATCCGCGAGTCCAGGCCGTTCCCCAGCGAGCGGCGATCAAAGCAAAGGCGAAACTCTTGAGCGACACATGGAGCTCTCCGAGCGGCAGTTGGGCATGAAAATACAAATGGTCGTGTGTAGGAATTGACTTTGACCCTGATACCGCCTTCGGGAAATCAGTGAGAGGCAGCAGCAGCAGCAGCAGCATGTTGCACCATCCATGCAAATGCGAAACGAGGAAACAAATTTTACGACGTGTTTGACGGCTGTCCGTCGTTATTGCCTTGCCTGCTTGCCTCAACCCCGACCCGCTCCCGTTCCTAGTCGCAGTCCCAGTCTCAGTCCCAGTCCCGGTCCCGGCGCTCACTTCCGTGCTGGCACTGCGGGGAATCGCAGTAAGTGCGCGCGGCATCCTTCATCCTCCATCCGGTTCTGGCTGCTGACTGCCGACTGCACCCTGAATGTTTCTGCTCCCTGGTTGGCTGCTGAGTTGCCTTGCATCATTACCTGAGCGGTGTCAAATGCAAACAAGACGTTTGCGCCGGCCATAAAGGCGAAAGATGACGACAGCTCGAGCTGGCACTTCCTCTCCATCGTCCTCTTCCCTGCAGGAGAACCCAGCCGCTCATGAGGAAAATGGCCAACCATGAGCGCCTCGAGCAGACAGCTTCCCTCGTACAAAAATGCCTCTGCATATCCTGGTTTTAGTGTGGAAATGGTGGAGCTTGTTATTACAGAAGTCCTGCTGAAGGGACTCACCCATCATTTCCTTTTAGTAATGAGAACTCCGTACTTATGCATATGAATCAACTTACTTACCTCTGACATAGATTTCTGAATGTTTCCCCACATATGTATGTATTTGTTTTATTTCAGTTCTACTGGCAGAAGCGGACAAGCCACACCTGGAGCCCAGTCTCCGCTGCACACACGTAACGCAGAAACAGCACAAATCCCAGCGGTGGCGTCCGGCCATAACCATCTCGTTGCGCCGACAGCGGCGATTATCTCACCCTCCAGCGGCAACTCCCATCCCACAGGTAAGACTCTCTACTCTATACATAATCCCACTTCCATTTCCCCATATTGGGTACCCAAAATAACCACAGTCATAGGTTAAACGTAGCATAGTGCGTGTATACTCGGATCGGTATGTAAATCCGAAAGCTTTCATTAACAAAGTCGCTGGAATCATGAAGGAATTACAGCCAATTGATTCGAATTTTGATTCCTCGGTAGAATTTTTTTAAAACTCGGATAAATGCCTCAGGAGCGAAGGATCGATATAGACATCAACGGCTTTGGCCCACAGAGATTGCCTTCATTTCTCGTCAAGGATTTAAGGATCTTCGAATTTCCTTATGTTTTCCATGCCTCTTCGAACCCTAGTTTTCCCACCCTGGAGTCGAATATTTATAGATTCGATCCATTTTCGGTGGGCACAGTCAGATTTATAGTCAGGTATTATTCTGGTCTAATCTGGCTTCATCCGTTGGGGAAATATAAATAAAAATGCGATTGTAAATCGAATTTTTTAGAATATGTATGTATATGTATATTATGTATATGGATATGTATCTCTATTTCGCTCGATTCGTAGCTTGTTCCATCTTAAAATTGTCATTCAAATGAGTTGTTTATTCCTTCTGAAAGATCGGGTTTGAAGTCAGTCCCGTTTACTGAAAGTCTCGAGTAATTGCTGTCGAAGTAGTAACCGAGTTGGGCTGAGAGTTGTCCTCGAACCGGCTCCGGGCACTTGCATCCTTTTTATGATTTGTTAGCATTTCCCTGCCATTGTCCCCGTGCCCGTCCCTTTCTTTTCTCAATGGCAATGGCAATGGCCATAAAATTCCCATAATTGTCCACTGCTGCGTTAAGTTTGTTCTGAATTGGGACGGGAACGGGGACGGAGACGGAGACCCGTAGATGCAGCCGCATCGGGGTTGCTTGCAATTGTGATCCCAATTTGGCTGCTGTCATAATTTTCCGAGTGAGCCCGCGCACGCATTTGTTTGCTTGGCTCATTATCATTAATTAGCGCGAAAGAAAACTTTCCTAACCCCACCCCTCCCTGTTCCAACCCATAGAATAGTAGTCGGCCCCCCGCCACAGCACTCTTTGCTGCTGTTGCTGCTGCTGCTTTTGGGGCGGCCCCAAGTCGCAATCGATAAAAAAAGAACAACATCGCGAGCCACCAACAACTACAGTACATCTACAATGTATATGCCCCGACCCCTCTGGACAAATGTGGGCCATAGATGGCGCTGCTATAAGCTATATTCAAATCAGCCCCCAAGCAGACGAGGCGCAAGAGAGAACGTGGTGGATGGTGGAGAGCGAGTGGCAGAGTGGCAGAGTGGCAGGCAGCAAAGAGCAACCCAAGGCAAGGGCATGCACACGTACACTGTACGTGTACGTGTGCCGTTGTGCAGTGTGCGTGCATGTGTGTGTGTGCTGGCATGCGTGTGCCACCAGACCAGGCACCTGCTGAGCTCTGAGTAGTGGATACTGAACATTGAACACTGGCCGCTGCTAGTGGACGGACAATCTCCAACAGACTCGTTCTCGCCTGTGGCAGAGTATTTCTGTTGCTGGGGTCCCATTCTCTCTTCGGCTGGCACCCACACAGCGACAGCGTTGGATCCACACACACGCTGTACACACTGTACGTGTGCATAATGCGCGAGAAGAGAGCGCAGAACAACAACCACCACCACCAGCACCAGCACCAGCAGCGCCAGCAGCGTCAGAGTCAGCGCCTGCGCCTGCGCGAACTCTCTTGCACGGACGGCCGGCTGTGCGCCTTTGTGTTCACATCTTGACTTTTCTGACTCTTACGGCACGTCCACACACGTACCCGTCCACGAGAGAGGGAGAGAGTCGCAGTGAGACGAGACGAGACAAGACGAGTCTCCACCGCTGCCGCTGCCGCGTCGCTGCTGCTGTTTCTGGTTCTGTAGCCGCTGTGGCCGCTGCTGCTGTCGCAGACGTCGTCGCATTGTAAATTTGTGCTTCGCTGTGTACGGTTGGAAGGCGTGCGGGCGTCCAAGCAACAACAACTACAACTACAAAGAGCGACAGCAGCAGCAGCAGCAACAGCAACAGCAGCCACCGTGGAGGACGACCTGGACTTGGGTGTTTCGTATTCCTATTCGCATTCGCATTCGTAGTCATATTCGTATTCGTATTCGGTTCCCATTCACTTCTGAGTGCAGTTCTCGCGCGACTCGCAAAATAAGTTGAGCGTTTTGGATATCGCACTTCGGGAATCGGAAATCAAAAATCAAAAACCAAAAACCAAAAATCGAAAATCGCAGATCGCAATCACAAATGGCCAACCTGATCCGACAGCGAGACGCCAGCGATGGGAATAAAAAATAGCAACATTTTGGTTAACTGTTGCAAGCCAAGCAGCGCTGTGTTTAATTGTTTGTTTTGGTCGTAAAATTGGATTTTATGACCGACAGCATAAAAAGCCAGCCCAAACAGCCGACAGCCAACCGTCAACAGTACGCAATGGAAATGAGTCCGCGATTTGTGCCGGCATAACACCCACAGCTGAACAATAATAATATAATATAATATTTATTAAACTGAAAGACAATAGCCGGACGATAAGTGAAAAGTGCGCTAGACAAAATCGTAGAAGAGCTGCAACAGAATCAGCGAAACAAACGAAACAGAAAACCCAATTCGAAAATACTGCTCCACTTTTTGGGCACCACGAACACCCTGTGCCCTCCACTCACCGTGTCTCTTTGGCTTTCGATCGAAGCAACTTCCGCCCCCTTCCTTCCTACGTGCCTGTGCCTCTGACGTCCGTCGACTCTCTCTTCGACCCGCTCTTTACTCAGGACGCGCGTTGGTGTGCGTGTCGAGTGCGTGCATGAGTCGCCCCGCGTCTCGTCTGTGTGTGTGTGTGTGTTTGTAGTGTGCGTGTGCGGTACGGCACGGTAAAAACTATTGGAAAACGGTTTGATTGCAAATAAAAACTGAATCGAGGCGAACCCAACCGAACCGAACGGAACCAAATCGAATCGAATCGATTCGAATTGAGAGTGTAAATACATCGATTAAAAATACATCAACAGTGCAACGTGGGAGGAAGAGATAGAGAAATTTGTGGGCCTTGGGTCGGTGGGTCGAGTCGATCACACCACAAAACCCAACCCCAACCCCAGCCCCCAAACCGCCGACTGCAGCCCCATCCACACACGTTCCGTGTGTGCGCCGTGAATTTCGCTGCAGCCGCTTGACTGAAACGCGTTCAAGATAACCATAAATATTCCACCCCTCCCCCAAACCCCAACCATCCCGCTGGCGTGCGCTCTCTACGACCCCCACGATGTCTCGGCAGTCGGGTCGCACGCCGCTGCCGGGGCGTGGTGGGGGCATCACACACACCCTCACCCACACGCCCACCCGCACCCGCATCCGCATCCGCATCCTGCCATGCAGCACCACCATCAGCAACAGCAGCAGCAGCAACAACAGCAGCAGCAGCAACAACAACAGCTGCACCTGCAGGAGCAGGAGCAGCTGCAGCAGTCCTCGCAGCATCTGCATCAACTGCATCACCACGCGCACCACCACCTGCCTCAGCCCCAGCCTCTCCACACCGCCAGTCACCATCAGAGCGCGCATCCCCACCTGCAGCAGCACTCGGTCGTCTCATCCGCGTCGGTTGCGTTGTCCACTCCATCCTCTGTGCTTCAGCAGCAGCAGCAACAACAGCAGCAACAACAGCAGCAACAGCAGACTACGCCCACCACACATTCCACGCCCACGCATGCCGTCATGTACGAGGATCCCCCACCTGTGCCAATCGTCGCCGTGCAGCAGCAGACGGCTCTCCAGCATCTTCCCGCTCCTCAACAACACCAGCAGCAGCAGCAGCAACAGCAACAGCAGCAGCATCAGCAACAACAACAGTTGGCAACAACACCAGTGTCTGTCGCTCTCAGCCCTGCCCAGACACCCACTGGATCCTCCGCCCAACAGCAACAACAGCAGCAACAGCAGCAGCCCCAACAGCATCTCACATCTCCCCACCACCAACAAATGCCCCAGCAGCAGCAGCAGCAGCAGCAAACCCCAAATAGCGTACCCAGTGGCGCCTCGACAGGGCTCCAACAACAGCAGCAGCAGCAGCAAAATTCTGCGGTCGCATCTGGCCAGGCCCAAATCGTGGCGCCGAGCACGGCGAGCGTTTCTCCCTCCAGTGTTAGTTCCCAGAAGGAAGGTGAGCAGAGTCAGACCCCATACCCCATGCCCTTTGAAGCTTTCGCCCAGAGTTGAATCCCAAATCCACTATCGTCCCGAATGGCTGTCTGGGCTTTCAGTATACATATGTGTCCCCGGACTCGTGGGCGATAAGAGGGCCAGCATTGACCTGTGATATGGGTTGCCATTCCACGGTCTGCGACTGAGTTCAATCTTGCATGAATTTCCCCGCGCTGGCTGGCATGAAAAATACATACAGCTCGTAGATACTGGATTCTCCCCTTGGAAATAATCATTCCAAAGTTCTCGATGGGAAAATCAACTTACTTAACTTATTGGAAAATCAATTTTACCCGAACCCGAAAATTTCATTGTGGAACCAATCCCATTTATTGAGCAAGTAGATATTGGAACTATATTGGAATTAATTTTTGTTTTTGGTTATAATTAACACTAATTAATTTCCCATGGAGTTGTTCATTTGGTATTAGATGGGTTGGGGATCTGTCTAGTAATCCTGGAGTCCTAGAGTCCTATGCAATATAAAATTTGTCCCACTTGGGGAATATTGGAGAGTTGAATAAAAAGTAATTTCATGCCCTTGCTCTGCTTTCAGACATCAATATGTCCATCCAATTAGCGCCACTTCATATACCCGCAATCAGGCCCGGCCCCGGCTTCGAGACGGATGCCTCGGTGGCTGTTAAGCGGCACGCGGCCCCCTGGCCCTACAACGACGACGGCTTCAACCAGTACCACGCCTCTGCCTCACAATACTATATGGAACAGCGCGACCGCAAGCCCATGTTCCCCTACTACCCAGATACCCAGTTTCAGGTGAGTGCTCGAGGTCGAGCGCGACTGCCGCTCTGCCGCACTGCCGCACTGCCGCACTGCGTCAATCGTCTCGTAAACAACTCATTGCCAATTTCTTATCGTCGCTTTTCCTCCCCTCCCATCCTCCATGCGATGCCGTGCGCCCTGCAGCCGTACTGGGCCAACTACCGTGATCAGCCGACCTCCGCCGCAGCAGCGGCCTACATGAGCGCCACCGACGACCGCCATGTGACGGTGAGCGCGGCGGCAGCGGCGCGACAGTCGGTGGAGGGAACCTCGCAGTCCAGCTACGAAACGCCCACCTACTCGTCCCCAGGGGGACTGCGCGGATACCCGGGCGAGGCCTACTCGAGCACAGGTACGTACTACGCAGGCATATCCAAAATGCACTGAGATTTTTCATTGCACGTTCTCGTTGTTGGCGCTGTCGCTGTCGCTGTCCGAATGCCACATTGCGAAACTGCAAGTTTGCCGTTCAATTAGCGCACTGCAAAATGCCTCATAAATTAATGCCGACTGTTTGGTCGGCGTTACGCCTCAAAGTGGGTGTGAAAGCCGGAGGAACTTAGGAGCTATGCTCGAGAGGCATGGCATGCCCCAAGCATTCACTACGAGCACTGTTTGTGCTTGATGATCGCAGACCCCTCGTCAATCCAATCTGTATACGATTCGATGTGTATGAAAATAATCAGAAAATGCAAAAATAAATCAAATTTCTAGTGAGAATATTCTCGTCAGAGCAGATAATTCGGTTAGCCCTTTCCACAAGGGGTCCCATTAGTGTTATTCCCAGCCACAGTTTGAATAACCTTTCGAATGATTATTCGCTCCTTTTTGCTCCCACACAGATCGATCAAGTGTTTGAATAGCACGTCTGATCTGCTTCATTTGAGCACTCAATGAGCAGGAACGAATGCATTCATTGACCATTCGGGTGTGAATGGGCCTCTTGCCAAGTCGGGCCCCCCGCCCCCTTTACCGCATCAATTAAGAGACCATAAACGCTGAATTGAATAATTTTGTATTACGCTAATTGCTTAACAATTTCCCTAATTGCTCTATAAACTTAACGATCTGATGCGGCAGCGACGACAACCGCAACTGTTGGACCACCCGCACCTAGTCAATGAAGGAAATGTTGAATGAATTGAATTGAATTTTCTCTGCTATTCCCCAGGAGCCTCCGGAGGTCTGTCGGTGGGTGCTGTGGGTCCTTGCACGCCGACCAATGCGCTGCACGAGTGGACCGGCGCGGTGTCGGTGCGGAAAAAGCGAAAGCCCTACTCGAAGTTCCAGACGCTGGAGCTGGAGAAGGAGTTCCTGTTCAACGCATACGTGTCCAAGCAGAAGCGCTGGGAGCTGGCCAGAAACTTGCAGTTGACCGAGCGTCAGGTGAGTGCGGCGCAGGCGGTGACGGGGGAGGGAGGGTCGAATGCTCATTCATTGGACTCTGTTGCGCTTTGTTTGCAGGTCAAGATATGGTTCCAGAATCGACGCATGAAGAACAAGAAGAACTCGCAGCGACAGGCTAATCAGCAGAACAACAACAACAACTCCAGCAGCAATCACAACCACTCGCAGACGGCTCAGCAGCACCACAACAACCATCACCTGAACCTGGGTCTGAGCATGGGCCACCACGCCGCCAAGATGCACCAGTGACCTTTGGACAACAGCAGCGCCGGCACCATGGGCTTCCCCACCTACTAGCAGTTAGCCAACCCGAATCCGAACCCTCAACTGAATCCGAACCCAGCTCCCGAACTGAACGGCCATCTAATCAAGAACGAGCTGGCCCTGGACTTTCCATGTTAGCCGAAAGACTCGACCAACTCTGAGGCAATTCGGTCAAATGTACAAAGCACCTGAGCTCTTTTTAGCCAGGATGTCAAGGGAGGAGGAAGAAGATCTGGGTCTGGGTCTGGATATGGAGAAGGAGATGGAGATGGAGATGAAGAAGGTAGCCCTGGAATGAGCTGGCGTCGCTGTTCACCAAAGCAGAGCGGCCCCGAGGAGATGAGAAGAAAATACCTTAAATGAAATGCATATATTTAATAAGTCAGTTCTTAGAGATCGATTAACGAGCAGACACAACTGGCAAGAACGACACAACCATTCAGCACAGAGCAGAACGGAACAGAACAGAACAGAACAGATACCATTAACCCATTCAGAGCAGATAGACGATAATGGCAGCTTAGTTCAGTAGTTGAATATGTATGTAGTAGTGTATGAGAAAAAAGCGAGGAACGGCAAGAGATGCAGAGAAAGATACACTTCAAATTTGCAATTTGTATGAAAATATATATGTATGTACGAGTATGTATGTATTTCTATCAAGGCTCTCATTAACCTAAGCGAGCATTATGAATTTTCAGAACTATAAATATGAATATACTTAAACATCAGTGAATATTAACCGTATAAATTATGAATAACAAGCGTTCGAGTAGTAGATTTTACCATAATTATCTTTGTAAGTGCAGCTAGATTGCAGCTAAATTAGGTTGAGCACATCGTAGACCCAGAAAATGTTCTTGAAACAAACAAAAATTGTTTAACAATTGTCAGTCGCCTCACCCATCACCCATCACCCACCCCACCCCACCACACCACACCACACGGATACACTCACACTCGCACACATCACTCAAACACTTGCCCACATCCAAATCCAAATCCACATCCAGATAGATATGGCCACAATTTAGGATCAATTTTGTCGTGTAATGTTCGTTGTGTCGTGTCCTTTGATACCTTCTAAGTTCCTGTATATAAACTAAGACATTGGGCCAGTCCGATTCCGGGCCGAAGAAAACACTTGAGAACTACTATACAATACTATACTTTACTATACTATATGGAAAGCATACACAAGAATATTAAATGTGTATAATGAAATTCGGATTCGATTTTAGCAAATGGTAGCCTCGTAAGATTTCGATGTGTGCATGTTTACTCCATAGTTAAAATCGCTTTCGATCTAACGTAACTTTAAAACAAACAAACAAACAAAAACTACTCGTAAAGCTAAAGCTAAATCTAAAGAAACAAAAGGGAAACTTAAGAGAAAAGAAGAATACATTTTACTGAAGGAGAGGAATGGAGTGGAGTGGAGAGGAGTGGAGAGGAGAGGGCGCAGTTGAGGAGGAAGTAAATTAGCATACTGTAACAGCTACTTATATATAACTAAATATACATAGTACTATAATACACGTACATATGCACACATATATTTTCATGTGTATCGACTCCGCTTGATCCTGATATTAAGTCTAAGTTTAGTTGTGTTGTGTAATTATCGATTTTTGTTAATGTTTTGCCCCCGAGCATTATATTATACCTATACCTTTACCCTTACCCTTACCTTTACCTTTACCTACGCCTCTCATTAGATATGTATAATTATGCCTATACATAGCTGATGGAGATGTGATTTCACACACTGCTTTATATTCATGTTCTTGTATTATTATTTCAAAGCCCTCGATAAGTTGTAGTCTAAAGTCGGTTATGTTTATGATTATGTTCGATTATAGTTTGTTTAGTGAATTTTAATCTAGCATTAGCAATTCTCTTTTTTAAAAAGTTAATTATTGTGAATAAAATACAACAAGTTGCAAAAGTGCAAAATATACACACAATTCAAAAGTATCTCAACCACGCCGAAACATTGTACTGTACTTATCCGCATTACCCGATTTCGTTTTCATGATTTGCCCTCATTTCTTCATCTGCTCTCTTCTGTTCTTCCACTTGTCTTTCGGTAAGTACACCGCAGAGGACCTCGGCCTCCCACCGGGGGGAGAACAACCTCTCAGCATCGAATTTATTCATAGACATCTTATCCATACTCTTACACGTACAGAATTTAAATCGAATTACGTACTGAGGAGTAGCTCTGTTAAAATTCGGCACACCTTTAGTCAAGAATGCCACAGGAAGATTGCTGATTCGGCGACCCCCCTTAGAATGTTTCCTTTGCTTTATTTCCATTCTTTTTGTTTTCCTTTTTTGGTCCTTTGTTTCACTGAGTTTTCCTTAGAGTCTCGTTTCTCCTTTCGCTATTGGTAACTTAATAAATACAGCGCTTAAATAAAATAAAACTAGAATTAATAGTCTTGTTTTCAAATATGTCATAAGATTAAATAAAATTTTATGTAACTGTGTTTCCTGAACTCTTATCTTTTGGATGAATATTATTTGCTTGCTACACAGCTCTTCGCCCAATGCCATGCTGGATAAATTGATAGTTCAATGGTTTACTTGCTACATCTCTGCTATATCTGTCGTACATATATTCTTGTAGGTAAATTCTTCTGGATTGAAAGATATTTCACATATTTACATATCGGTATGAGTCGATCAATTATTTGTTTTTCAACCGAGTGCTCTTATGGCTGCTACATACTTATGTTCATACATTCATTAATATATATGATATCCTATTGGATTATTGGAAGTTGAGTTGGAGTAAGAACGTTGTTTATCGAGAAACACGCACCTATATTGTTGCGAGTACGAGTCTCACTGGAAGAGCACGAGGCTGGAGGCGAGAAACCAGCTGTTTAACTTATTCTCTTTAAGTGGACAACAATAATCTGGTAGATAATTTCATTATTAATAATTTTGCGATCGAGGTTTTCTCGGGGCGTGGGAATGGAGTATCTCAGGATTCAGTTTCTATTATTCCCAAACTGTAGGCGTCCATAAACCCGGACAGATAGACATGGCTATATCGACTCGTGTATCCCGATATTTTCTGGGGAACCTACAATACATACGAGTTGGTCAGACATGACATAGATCAAGAATTTACATATATAGTACTATATAGGGGGGCTATGCATTATTATGACCCCTTTTCGAATCAAACGTTGAAACTGATACGATTTCGAAAGTTTTATTTTGAGCGTCGAGTACTTTCATACATAACAAGGAGATGGTGTAGACCACAGAATGATATAGCTAATAAGTTGATAATTCTTTGCTTACCTCGTCCTAGGTTGTAGGTTCAGGGTAGGTAGGAACTGTTACTCCTAATATCTGTTGAGTTGTCCTTCTGTAGTTGTAATGAATATGGTCTGTTGTCTTAGTTATATAATATATCTATACATTCTTGATCGGGTGAACAAGCCGAGTCGATACAGTCATGCTCATCTGTTTCCATGAGAACTAGCTTCTGCATGACACACGACGCGAGTGACCGAATCCGAATCTAAATCTGAATATCATAAATACCCATTGGTAAGCCGATACGAATACAGAGTTTTTTGATCAAGTTGACAAATTAAGTTTTGCTCGTGGTTGAACTCCAAGGGTAAACCTCTTCGGCTAGAAAATTATATTTGTTCTGTGTAGCTTCAAAAAATCAAAAAAATTGTATAGCAACCGTTAACCGTTATTTTTTTCGACCAGGCGGAGTACAAGGCTGCCACTGTTGAGATCCGTAAGGTGCTCCTTCGAGCGAAGAGCGGCCTCTTTTTAGAGAAGCTTTAACTTGAAAATACTTGCGAATACTTGTTATAGCCGACATGCCAATGTTTTTTGATGAGACGCTTCAACACCCCCGCTCTGTGTATACTTATAATCGGCTGTACTGCATTGTAATTTTTAGAGTATCTGGGGATAATCATTGCCTGCACTGGCCTATATAGTTGAAGGAGTATAAGTAAAGTAATGCTGGAATCGTGACCTGCCTGACAGCCCAAAAAATTGGTTTGTTCCACATGGCAATGAGCCTTTGGACGTTGATATGCAATGACTGCATCATCAAGTGAACCATCACAAATCCGAAGCCTGTTACGAGCGGATCCCAGGCAGATCCTGCACAACCGACCGAGTGGAGCTGCCCCATTACGCGCGACGCGTGCAACCGAACCGGTCACGAACATTCACGAAAGATAGGCGTTAGACTAATATTCGAGGAAAACGCAAGAGCTAACAAACAACTTAAAGAGCTAAAAATGCATTCACAATTACAGAAAAAAGGATACTAATTTCGGGTAAGGTACCTATGTAAGTATTATGGATTTAAGAAGAGAAAGGGAATTAGTACTAGATACTATATAATATGGTAGGGGAAATTATAATCAGAGCATAAGGCCCTAAACGGTTCAAGTAAGCAATAATTTGAATATATCTTGGAACAAAGGAATAGAGTCACTGGTGGATCTAATAGGATCGTGTAGTATATGCGGCACAACAAATCAGGGCTATCTTCACACAAAGCTCTGCCTGACTTGAAACCCTGAAAATAGCTGCGAAACGAAATAAACATAGGACATTATCAACTAAATCTTGTTGGGATACGCTATGGGACTTCTCATAAAAAATTATTTTCAATGATTTTCTAAGCATTGTATAGATATAGAAATAAAATAGACCACACTACAAACATTGGCATTTCCCCTCTTCCGAAGGTTAACAGATTTATTGCAATTACATATACATACATATATGTATAATATATACACGTAGCACGCTATGCGGAAAGATCTAGGCCAAACCATTGGCTTAACTTAATTAAAGTTAAAATCCAAATCTGAGGGAAAGGAAACGCAAAGGGAAGCTAGGAGTATATAACATTTTACGAGTCCCACACTTAGCGGCATGGATGCATAGATTCCCATCCCATATATAGAAAATAAAAGTAACAACGATCCTGTTATATATTCTAAATTCGCGACGTATGACAGTGACATATCGTAATCGTAATTACATCGGGCTTGGCCAGAGCATCGACATTGATCAGCATGTCGAGCGTAGCCACTTCTACATCATCTATACATGATATATTGAAATCAGTTGGGTCGTTGTAGTTGGGAACACCAGCCAAAAAATCAAATCGTGGTCGAAAGTCGATGAAGTTCACTTTTTTATATCGCCGGAAAATGAGTCCTCGACACGTGCAAAACATGATGCCAAGCTTAAAAAATCATTTAATGATTTTTCCAAATACATAATGTTTTAGTTGAATACTCCAGTCCGCCACCATACCTTTTGAAATTTCACTCTATTTAATTTAAAACATAGCTGGAAATTTAAATCAATAATTTGTAGCTTAGCAGTGCTGGTGCTAATTATTTCCGATACTCGATAAGTAGATTATTTATTCATACACATAACAACCAGAAAGAAACGTTTCTGACCCATAATAAATATTTATATGTACCGAGAGTGAATAATTCAAATGGAATATTTGATCCAAATATTTTTCTTATTTAAAATGTATTTAAGAGCCGAATTTTAAATTTTTTCTTTTGCTGCCTTTTACGTCTTTTTAAAATTAATACACCTCTGTAGCTTCTTTCAGGCATACTCAAGCCAGAAACGGAATGAATAAATCTAACTTAACCCCTCTCTTTTGCTACATAAATGAAACCAATAAAATTCTGCTGCCTTTCAGGCTATTTTTAAACCCCTTTGACCCTTCAATTATAGAAAAATGGGTCTGGTTTAAGTGTGCCTGAAAGAAGCTACAGGGGCAAATTAATTTAAAAAGGCATACCCAGGATCTTAATGGTATCTAGTTCGCGATTGACTACGCTGTCGATACAAGAATTGTGTATTTACACAAAAACTAACCAGTCCGCACCATTGGCTAAAGAGCCCATTAGGAGTTCAGTTCGATATTACGATATAATGTTTGTATTTTTAATTACATTTCCATGCCATCGTAAAAATAAACCCTACACTCTCGAGTTTGTTTAAATTTTATTCAACCCCTAAAAGGGGGTTGGAAACTGATTTCAGCCCGCGTTGTAAGTGTACCCACGAGATACACAGAATTTGATGTACATACATATGTACATAAATATGCACATACTCGCATAGGATTGATAACAACCATTCGTGTAAATATGTATCCACATGAATTTGAATAAGCTTTCATCGATGCAGGGGAAGTTTCCCATCACCAGAGAATACACCCTGCTATATAAGCTATATAAACATTGGCAGCACGGAAGGTTCACAGATTGGGAGATAAAGTGCTTCGTCTCGGTGTGGCTGTGAGTTCGGTTCGGCTCGGCTCAGGCGTTTTTTTACTTTATGTACACGCAGATGCTTTCACCCATCAAAACGGAGTGGGTTGCTTTCGTCTCGACTGGATTGGGGATGGACTGAGTGGGTGGTTGAGCCTGGCGAAGCGAACAACCACCGAACCTGAAATTGTAGTTTTCAACTATTTTCAGTGATGAGCACTTTGTAATTCGGGGCGGGTTCCTGAAAACTTACTTTAAACTCTGTCTAGAATTACTTTTTACCTTCTGGGCACTTCTTTCCTCTGATGGTGCATTCTAGAACAGGCCTAAAATGGTTTCTAACTATAGAC